AGAGAGGGGAGGCGCAGCCCCTGCCTGGCTCGTCAAGGGAGTCCTTAGGACCACGTGGAAGGGAGTTCCGCTGGCAAACGATGCCATGGGGGCAAGGTCTTCTTCCTTGCCCGTCGGTAAAGGATGAATCCGGCTTCGGAAGGGCAGGCAAGGAACGGGAGGCCTCCCTGTGGACCGGAGTGAAGGCCTTCTGCCCCCTAGTATTCCATGGGCAGATATGACCACTTACTGGGGGGGGGGGGCGGCGGGGGGGGGAGACTCTTTCCAAACCCATATCTAGAGGATAGCTCTGTAAATCCCCTGGACCACCAGAAAGACAAGCAGGTGGGGGCTCGAATTGAGGTTGTTGTGCTTTGATCCCTTCCTATCAGAAGCTGAGACTCGCTGGGAAAAGGCAATAATGTTTGGAAAAGTGGAAGGCAGCAGGAGAAGAGGAAGGCCAGATAGGAGATGGATGCACTCTATCAAGGAAGCCACAACCTTAAATTTGCAAGAGCTGTTAACCGCAAGGCCTGCCTGAGACCATCCACTCACCGGACTTGAGGGCACGCCCCGAGAGGCTGCCTCTTTCTGGATGCAAATGGGAATTTTTTCCCCCTGCTTTCAGGTCAAACACAATGTTTTGTGTCTCGCCTTTCTGTGCCAAACAAAGGGCGCCTCGGCCATGCTTTGTGCAGGAGCTGCTCTGCCCCTTCTCGGGACAAAAGCCGGCCTTTCAGGTCACGTACCTGACCGGGTTCAAATTGCAAAAACAGCCTCCCAAGGAGAAACCGGAGTAGGTCAAACAAGAGACGGGCACCTCCGGGAAATGCCCGGTGAGTTTTGCAACCCTGGCACTATCGGACTCCCCAAGAAGACGGAGGGAGAGGACCCTGCCCGTGCAGGGCGCTTTCCCAGTCCCCCAGGGAGCGGTGCCAAAGTAGATGGGGAACAAGGCTCCCCTTGTGTGCTCCTCTTGGCCCTCCCTGGCAGAGAAGAGGCGAGGGCCAGAACCACCACCGCCTCCGCCGCAGGCAGACCCTGGGCACAAAAGGGGCGCTCAGCTGCATCAAACTCTTTGGGAGGGAGGACTGGAAGGGTGGAAGGAGCAGAGTTTGGACTGAGAAGGAAGGTTGGGGGTGGGGGGGGACAGAGGCTTCCCCTGCCAGCCCCTCCTGCCTGCAGCAGGTTGGGGGCTCTGCTCATCCTTTAAAAACCAGGGGGCAAAAAGAGAGTCAGAAGCCCCGAGGCGTAGGGATATATACGCCAGGCACCAACAGCCCCCCCCACACACATGGACACACATCCCATCCGATCTGGTTCTGGAAGCGAAGCAGAGCCGGGCCGGGTGTGAGGGGGGGGATGCTTCAGGCCTCCCCGGCAGGCTGTCTGCCTCTGCCCAGTGCCCCCCTGGCGGGCCCGAAGGAGACACTCTGGCTGCTGGGTGCCAGGAGGGGGCAGAAAGAGGGGAGGAGGCCATCCCCTGGGCGAGGAGAAAGGGCCTGGGCCGAGCTGGCAGGGGCCTCGTTGCCCTCGACTGGATCAAAGCGAGGAGACGCCGAGCAGCCAGACCTGGCCTTCTGTGCCCCACGAGAGCAGGACGACACGGAGTTCCAAAACCCGACTTTGACGGATGCCAGGCCTGCGTTTCCTGTGGCCAAGGGGAGTGACGTGGTGGCAGGGCCCCCCATCTTCAACCCGCCGGCTTCTCCAGTTCCTGGACAGACCCCATGGAGACCACAGGAAACAGCAGCTCGCCTCACCCCCCCCCCGGACCCCATGGAGGCCCCCAAAGGAGCACCATAGGTGGCCACCGGAGGGACTGGGGCTGCCAGGGCAGG